TATACTTTTATTATTATTTGAACCCCTGCACCATAATGTGCAGTTAACCCTGGTAGCCGCACTGAATTGAAAAAAAAAAGTTCAGAGAGATGGTGGTCTGTGTCGGAGAAGGGCATTGCAGGTCTCATGAGAACACTCAGTCAGTTGAGGCAATCTGGGAACTTCAGATTTGTCCAGTTTGGCTGCATAGTTCCTTCCGAGGTGATATTATCATATCTGTTAATAAGCTTTTCCCGCTGTGACAAGGTGGGCAGTATACTGTATATTTATTGTATTGCTATTCCTTTGCAGTCATGAAAGAACCAGAGAGCTACTTCTTTGATTATAAATTTTCACTTTTCTTTGTAGGGAGAATGTCATGGAGGACATTCACAATAAACTTCAAGACATCAGAAATCCCCTCCAGGCCATCAGTAATCTGCTTCGAGAGATGGACTACGAGACTTCTGTGGACATAGACCAGCCTATGGACATTGGTTAGTATTAATTTTGTAAAATAATTAGCATTATAATTAACAATCAATGAGAGCAGATCAGCCCACTTTGCCATAGTTGTGATAGTGGGAACCAAACGACTGTATGCTATTGGTTCAGCCACTAGTGGTTTATGCTTTGAATTGTGTGGTTCTGATTAAATGTGCACCGCAGTTCAAGCTGTTTGAGGCAGGGGGGTATCTGCCCTTTCAGAGACATTGCACTAATCCTAAAACACTAATGTTTCCCACTTCTCACATAGGATGCAGTTATTGTTTCTCAGTTTTACCCTCTGTCTCTTTATAAGATTTAAATTTGCATGGAATGTGCGTTACTTGCAATAAGCAGGAGTACTAATGGTAATCTTTGGCCCCTACTGCTGACACCACTGCTCATCAGTTGTCCTTCTGTTTAGTAAAATCCAATTAGCCACTTTCTGATCTATTGGACTTTCTGCCCTTGCTGCTGCCAAACGCCACTGACACTAAGGAGAGACTGAAATATCATGCTTTCATGCTGCTTTAGCTTTACATAATGTGCAGTTGATACATGCCCTACTAGGGAAAAAAAAAATTTCACTGCACTGAATTTTGGAAACCACGGGTTTGGTGTTCGGTGCTGAAATCTGAACATACTCCTTAGAGAAAAAAGCAAGGGGTCTGGGAAGGATCAGCACAAGGTTGCAGAAACAGTCGTGCATTTTTGGCATGAGGTTTGGAAATCACAGATGGTTATTGTGTTAGGGTCAGAGCCTCTACCTTTTAACATATTGGATATTTTGAGTTGTATCTAAACCCAAAACTCTATTCAAGAGTATTGAGTAGAGGGCTTGGAACACCTTCAGGTTTTTATTGTCCTGCTGGCCACTGTCACTGGGAAAATTAAATTCTGAATTCCCACCAGAAGAGGATTGAAAGGAAACCTTTAAAACAGAACCGGGCAGATCAAATCCTAAACTTTGCAGCGCAGGAGTATACCCACAGCAAAGGTTAAGTGCTCGTTTTGTCTAGGGAACTAAAACAAAGTTATACTCACCAAAACCATGAACTGGCTTACTTTTAGACGGCTCCCTTCAGTCTCGTTTCCATTCTAGTGGTCTAAGGTCCTGTTTAGGGCTGCAACCAACTAATCGATAATGAGAATCACTGTTAACTATTATCATTATTGGTTAGTTGGTTGAATCCCCTGGCTCTCTCCTCTACTCTGCGAGGAGGGCACAACAAGCAGTGGGTTGGTGCAATAGCCAATTTGAAATGGCCAATAGCAGGCTGGCTATTGCACCTGCCCACTACCTGCTTTATTTACATTCAGCTACCGCCTGCAGAATCTTGCCACTGGCAGCTGACATTCCCAGGCTGAAGCTATTCAAGCGCCATGTGCTTACAATAAAATTATTAAATTTTTTTTAAATTATCAAAGGTGGGCAAACAAGTAATTGTCAATTGCACCCCAAATGCACCTCCCACCCACAGTGTGATCGCCCGCACTGGAACCCAGTACTGCAATGCTGTGCAGTGCAATTGCAAAAAAATTGGCATGCAGTTTTTTTCTGAAATAAAGTTTGTAACACTGCATTTGTGGATTTTATTTTAAATTAGGGATGGTATTTAATTCATTTTTTTTTATCCAATTAATCGAAAAAATAATCGTACAACTAATCGATTATGAAAATAATTATTAGTTGCAGCCCTAGACCATGTCCAGTACAGTGCATTGGGTGTGAGGATGCCGAGTTGCATACTATCACTGGAGCAGAGGATGAGACAGGCTGGAGGGAGCATTGTAAGAGCAAGCTGGGGTCGTGATTCAGGTTAGGATAACTTTATTTTAGCTCTCTAGACAAAACAAGCACTTCACCCTTGCAGCACAAGGGTAGCCCCACTGCAAGGGTCAAGCTTTATTTGCCTGGACTTCTGCTTTTAAACAGTGGCCCTTGTTTTCGGTAACAACTGAGAGATTTCCCTTTTTTAGAGATTTTTCCTCTAACTATTTGTGTTTTCAGAACAGAAAGAAAAGGGAAATCTCCCCATTGGGAATCGGGTGGCAAAGGAAAGTGGCAGGGGTTTTAACCCTTCCATCTAAAATTGGGAAAAAAAAGTTTTTACTTTATTTACTTTGCTGGTTCAGGAAGGTATTGTCGTACACCTTTCTGAAATGTCCTTATATCTGCTTTTGTCTCTCTCAGTTCAACCTCTGAATGTGCGAATGAACCTCTCCAGTCTGTATGGCAGCACTATAGCCTCCAGCATAGTATGTCAGGCTGTCTGCAAAATATCCCTGACACGCTTCTTGATTTGCCGAGACTTGCTTATCCTTCAACACCTCCTGTTAAGGATGGGAGATGTGGTAAGTGCACTCAGCCACGTGTCCAACAAAAAAAAAAAAACATGGACCACAAAATCTGAAACTCATCAACTTTTATTTTGTCTTTGATAGGTGTTTGCTGGACCAGGTCACCTATTGCAGACCCAGCAAGAGCTGATACCCCGCACCTCCCATATGCTCCTGTCCTACTATGTAATTCGATGGGGAAGCCAGTGTGTGGCCTCTGTTGTTCCTGTGGATACCCTGTAAGTCTCCATTCCTAGTGTCTGTCATGCACAACATTGTGCTACATTAAGATCTGCTAAACCTAACTATGAGCATTTCCATGCTTAGCAGTGGTTACTTCAGCTTTAAATGCTAGTTAATCATTTTGATTTAATTCAATCTCTATACCTATTCTGTTTTTTATTTTGCTTACAGGGAATCCAACCTCCAACACTTATCCGTTTTGGAGCTCTCTGATTCACCAGCATTCACTCCAGGAAGCAGATATAGTAAGTGTACCAGTCACTAGGTCACAAAATTTACCTGCAGACCCATTGCCATGTGTACAATTTGGTATAAATGTGCACAAGGGGTGGACATTATAGTCATTTGTCAGAAAAATGTTTGTTGACCAATCACTGTTTCTAGACAAAGTCCAAGCCCACTCAGAAGTGAGAACTTAATTTTACAGCACTACTCTAAATTGACTTCTGTTCCTGAATTTTGAATATCATGGAGACTCCAGGGGCAGACTGTTCCTAACAGAATTCCCAGTTCCATCCATTTCTATGACCTACTGAGGATAACACTCAGCAGCATGTTTAGCTATCGGCATATATGATGCCAGTGAGTGGTTTTTGTCAGCCCTATACTAAAATATCTGTGTTAAGGTGGAAATGGCTTTTATATTTCTACATAACCATCTATGGAACTGATGAAATAATTCACATATAACTCTGGCCCCTTGCTCTGTGCTTCTTACTCTCCATGGGACAATAGAAGATGCACACATGTTTTGCACAGTCTTTATTGACTCTGAAAACTCACACGTGTCGTTCAAACATATTTTAATTTAGAGAAAACCAACTTATTGGTATAATGCCCATGTAGCTAGAGTTTCCCATGATGCATTATGACACTGTCCTCTGCATTTCAGCTTTCACAGTAGTAGAATTTTTGATACTATGCCAGAGGTGTGCATTAAACTCCTAAACATATAGGTCACCACCATGTAGTGTTGTAAATAACATTTACCAATATTCCATATGATCACATTATCATATGTCACCAGAAGGAGTGACTGCAGGTTAAGAAAATCGCTATGTTTTGGTAATGCCCCAAATCCATTTAAATCTACTTGTTTTGTTGATCATATTTCATTATTTTGCCTTCATTTTGTGTAGTTTCTGGGCCCCAGTCGATCACGGAGTTGTTTTTCCAGGACGTGGCTAGAAAACGTTTGTCTCAGATCTTTGCCCGCTCCAGTGCCACACAGACGCACACTCCTCTAAACTGGCCACAGCTGATCTCGGACATCATCACTTATCTTCTTCAGCATCTGTATCCTTACCTCTGCCAACTTATGTCTGTGTACTTAAAGTGTATGTAAACCCAGCCAAAGTAATCTCATAAACTTTGTCACAATTATCGTATTTCAAAAGTAATTTTCAATCTTTTTCAATCTACCGCTTTCACTAAACCTCCATTTTTACCAGATATTCGCTTTACAAAACTATGGAGCAGTCTCAATCAGTTTAGAGCTCAATTGGATTTTATGTGTAACAGAACTTTGTGTGTACTGGTTAGCTACAATCATATAATCGCCTAGTGACATTGGGTGTCATTGTGATGAACCGTAGCAGGCATGCTAACCAACACACCTAGGAATGTTGGATACAGTGGTGCTCATAGCTCTGCTAGAGATCAAAGTTTCAACACACCACCCTCCTAGAAAGTGATTATTCATAATTCCCTTCACAAGAGGCAACTGGTTTAACTTGTGTAAAGGGTCGCTTTAAATTTGAATGTGAAGACTGGTTTATGGTAGTTTAGAATATTTCATTCTAGTGGTTCTTAACTTGAATACTTCCAGATGGCCAGGCAATCCTGGTTTTCTCTTCCCTGAGTGTTTGATGAGGAGCTGTCAGTACACTCAGCTACAGGTGGGTACACTAATCATTAGAATGGATTCATTAGGACTGTTTGCGATGTCCATCGAAGTTGCTGTGTCCCCAAACTATAAGGAAACGGACATTTCTATTTCTCACTATAACATGTTTCTTTTTGTGTTCTTTGGGGAATATTAATTGTAACTATTTTTATATTAATATTTTTAATTCTCATAATAATGTGCACTGTAATGTTGGTCTGTTTTGTTTTCTTGTTTGGGTGTTTGAGTTTCTCCCACTGCAGCTTTGCATGAAGGACGCTGTTACTGACGCTGACCTTCCTGTAAATTAAGCTCTGATGTAACCATTTTATTTGAAAAATAAATCCAGCCCAAAGACATTCTGCATTATATGGGGTGCCATGGAAGAAAGCCCAGTACGATGGCTCTGCATATATGTGTGATGCTGGCGGGAACAGGTTATTGTCCACCATCCTATAGGCAAAACCTATGCTCCAGTCACTTGTTGCTCCCACCAATAAACTTGACTTCCATTAATGGAAGAAAATAATTTAATTGCAAGAACACTGACCAATAGATGCCTTCATGCTTATCTGTTCAAACTTTATTCATCGAAAATACCACTCATGTCACACCAAGCTCCTCCTTCTGACATGTTTTATATTAAACAGTCTAAACATTGAGCACTATTTTAATCTTATAACTCAGAAGGAGGAGTTTGGTGAAGTGTGAGTTACCATTTGCATGAATAATGTTATTTATCAGTGAATGAGTGAGGTGCGCACCTTCTGCACTCATGAGTTGTATTCAGAAAGGCGGCGAGCTTTTGAACAATGTACAATGGTGAATATAATGGGTACTGAACACTTGACAGTTGTTTGACTTCTACATGGTATCACATTGTACCTGGAAACAAAGTGCATTATTTTATAATGTGCAATTATATATTTTTTCTTCTTTTTAGGAGTATGTACGTCTACTACAGCCTTGGTGTCAAGTGAATGTCGGTTCTTGTCACTTCATGATGGGACAGTGCTATCTGGTCATAGGTGAAGGACATAAGGTGAGCATTTGTTAGAGCATACCAATGTTGCATTCCTAAAAAAAAAAAAAACCCTCCCCAAAAAAAACAGTTGTTTTGGAACCCCCGGGTCCACACTCTAGTTCTGAAACAGTGAGACCATTTATTATAAATATTAGATCACTAGCATTTAGCTTCAATATATTTGTTTTACATATGTGTGTTGGTTATCGTCACACTAAGCTAGTTTCCCTGTGGGAATGGCTGCATTGCTTCCACACTGTTGCAGAGGTAAAAACTGCTCTTTTGCAGCAGATGGCTTCTGAATAGCTGAATGCACTTTTTCTACTTGAAATAGAAATCGGTCACTTTGGAGACCTAGAAACTAAGAATTTTATGGGTAGTACTGTTTGTAGGCCTACATGGCAGCTATATGATACAAAGCTTGTCTGCAAATTTTAATAACTGGCGTAAACAAAAAAAATTCTAGCAGAATTTCAAATTGGTAGTCGGGCAGGAGAAATCTATGCTCGCATTGCATGCTGCCTTTGTAATAACCATTAGACTCCTAAGATGCTGTTAACACAGCAATGACTTATTTTCTTCTCTGCTATAGGCTCTAGAATGCTTCTGCCAAGCAGCTTCTGAAGTGGAGCGAGAAGATTTCCTGGAAAGATTTATCCACGTGGAAGAAGGGGACACACCTTCCTCAGCCCGTCTGCAGTACTATAACAGAGTAAGTGTTATAACTTATATCTTGTAACATGTATTAGTATCACGCATCCATGAATATGGTTATTCAGAGGTACTGTTTCATTGCTTGTATGTGCATTTTATTTGTTAAAGCATAAGTGCAATTATCCTTTTTGCCCCTTTCACTTGACCTATCCTAACTCCCCCTCACTCTCCACAGATGCATACTTGCCTTGATCCAATGGCTATGCTAATTGTTCACATTCAGCGTCGCAAGTTTTCACTGTTCTGGCTGCGCCTGCACGTTACAGCCCTGTAGTCTCCCGTATTGGTACACAGCTCCATAGAGGTCTTTGGGGCACTAATGTACAGGCACGGCAAGGACAGTGAAGGCTTGCAACAGGGAGACATACAATGAAACTGTGGCTGTTAGACTGAGGTAATTTATGCATGGAGGGGAGGTGGGGGGTTAGAGTAGGTCAGGAGAAAGGGGCAAAAAAATTAAAATGCATTTTGTTTTAAAGTGCAGTTATCCTTTATCACTGCTGCAGCCATGATCTTGGTACCAGTTTCTCAGCAGGTGATTCTCTTTTTTTCTACTAGTGATCTGAGCAGCTTTACAGCCTGCAGATGTTTCCATAACAAGAACCTGTTGCCTCCAAATGCTATCACATGGGGACTGGTTGGCCCCTGTGTAAATAGCAATATAGTTAGGTGAAGAAAAAAGTGATTTAAAAAAAAGAATTTAATCCAACCCCACCACCCCTATCCTCTGCATACAATCAAAAATGGCACATAGGGCATGAACTTGTACGTAAATGACGATTGCACCACACATATTCGTTATTGCCGTGAACTTCGGAGTGAGAGCAATAACTTTAGGTCCAAATTTGCTGGTAATTCTAAAACTAATGAGCAGTAAAGACTTTTAAAGTGTCGCCTTTTTGAGTGGGCAATTTTGAATACCATAATTTTTCGCTATTGCACGGGCGCCCACAATTTTAATGCTTGACATGTTTGGTACCCGTTTGATGTAACCCCATCTTTTATAGTTTACAAAAAAAGGGTATGACATTGTGTTTGTGCACTAAAATTAATTTATGTGCTTTTTTGCTAAAAGTGTGGACTTGTGCAAATATCGTGGGACATAAAAAATGCAGCTACCATTTCCCTCCTAAAGGGGCTTTCCTTGCAGTGCCTTATTGGATTACCGAATTTTGAGATCCACTACTGGGATCTCCTTGTTTGCTTCAATAGACCCATATATTTGACTGTATATGAACTGTATTTTTGTACTGTTGTTTTGCCTTTCGAGTCAATCTTTCTTTGGCACAAAGCTCAGTGTTTTTGTATTGTGAATGCAGGTCTTGCGCCTCCTGGAAGACATGGGATTACCAGAGCTGGTCATCAAGTTGGCCACCCTGGCTATTACAGAGGCTGCAGACGACTTGACAAGTCAGGTATAGCACCAATCAAGTTTCTTATCCTCACATTTAGTTGACTTGTTTCTTGGAAATTGAACAAATCATTTTTTTTTATAATTAGGCGGCTTTAAGGACTCGTATTTTCAAACATTACTTGGATTTGGGACACAACCACCAAGCCTATGAGTCCCTGACACAGATCCCTGATCACAGCAGGTAACGGAAGACTCTCTTGCTTACGCATGACACCAATAGTCCTGATGTGCTCACTGTGTCATTGATCTGTGCTTTTTTTCTTGTTGCAACTTGTAGTCTTGCCGTAACTAGTGTCCTGTATTGAATTAAAGATGACCGGTTATTTGAGGCAATCCTGTTGCTAGTATAAAAAGAGTCTGGCCTGCAACATCTTATGAAAGTAGAAGCTAAATTCTTACTCTCCAAAGGGCAGTGAGCCAAATCTTTGCTTTCTTCCATGGTTATTGGTGACACTGCTATCTGACACTTCAGGGTGTGTCAAATTGTGTGTTCCCTGCTGGGTGCTGTAGTTTCTTCCACTGACTGCTATATCACTGCACCTGCCGGAGAGGTAAGTATCCAGCTGCTTTTCTCTCCCGTTCATTGAAGGACACAGGGAACAGATCGGAGATCATGTACTGTAGGGTAATATCGCCACCTGCAGGAGAAGGACGCTAGGCACAAAAAAACTAAAGACCAATTACAGCCTAGGGGCGGCCCCTGCCGGTGGCCAAACCCCCCACCTACTGAGAAGTCACTGCCGGCTAGATACTTTGTATACAAGCCACATTGTTACTTTAAGACCAGTTGTGCAGAGCGTGCACACACAATACCTAAGGGGTAATGTTGGCAATCCAATGCAGGGAAAACAGACCATTAATGCCTATAGGTGTAAAAAGCGTGTTGGAATCAGACAAAGATATAACCAATTCATGTGTCTCACTTGACTTTATGTATGTATTGCACAATGTTGTGTTTTGTATACTTTTGTTGTATAGTAAATAAGAGAATTGTCATTTCAGTAGTGCTTAATTATTAAGATGACTGATATTCAACTTGTGTGCTTTTGCTCAAAAGGCAACAGGACTGTTTGCGACAACTGGTTGTAGTTCTGTGTGAACGCTCTCAGCTTCAAGATCTCGTGGAGTTTCCGTATGTGAATCTGCATAATGAGGTACCCAATATCCTCACTGCAGCAGCCTAGTGTTGTTCTAACCCAGCTTCCTAGAATGATTCTGACCACATCCCTTTGTCGCCACAGGTTGTCAATATTATTGAATCTCGCGCGCGTGCTGTCGATCTGATGACCCATAATTACTACGAGCTCTTGTATGCTTTCCATATTTACCGACACAACTATCGGAAAGGTATTCCCAGTTTTCCTTTCTCTCCTCGTCTTCTTGTTTCAATGGATACATTATATGGTTGTTTGATACCTGATCATCACACTTAATGTTTGCCCACAAGTAGGGGACATCCCTAGTCCAGCATGACTGTGCCCCTGTGCACACAGCCATGTGGGGGAACATGAATGGCCTGCACATAGCACATGGCCCTGACTTCAACCTTACTGAACACCTTTGAAATGAATTGGGCTGCAGATTCCAAGTCAGGTCTTCTCCTCCAACAGCATTACCTGTACAAAGCTTTCCCAGAAAAGTGGAGGCTATTATACATAGAAGGGGTGGGGGGTGGGGGTTGTTGTGTGGGCAACTCCATATTCTTCCCCTTTTTGATTTTGGACTGGGTTGTCTAACAAGTTCATATAGGTGTGATGGTCACATTTCCACAAAGTTTAGTTTATACTGTAAGTTCTACCAACCCACAAATACCTCTAAAATTTGAACTGCCACTTATTTTCTGTGTTCATTAACCATACAACTGCATTATTTTCAGCTGGAACAGTAATGTTTGAATACGGGATGCGGCTTGGCAGGGAGGTCCGAACGTTAAGAGGTCTTCAGAAGCAAGTGAACTCTTACTTGGCGTGCCTAGGTTGTTTACGGCTGATTCGCCCCGAGTATGCCTGGATAGTACAGCCAGCCTCCGGAGCTGTGGTACATAGAATTTTTTTTGTGTGTGTTTTATGTTTTTTTTTTTCCATATTTTTACAGTACTGTGAACATTCCACGTTTGGCAGTGTTCTCTTAGCAGTTTTTGATTTGTGCATCGTGTGAAGTTGTGACTTTTTTTCTTTGTCTGTAAAATTTATATGCAGTATGAGCGTCCAGGATCCTCTCCGAAAAGGACGCACGACGGAGAGTGTCCTCCAGCTCCAAGTAAGTTGTTTTATATAAGAACTTTATGTAGTTCTTTTGTCTCTCTCATTCTCTCTCTCTACCTCACCTCCCTCCCCTCTCTCTCTCTCTCCTACCTAATCTAGAAAGTTACATCTCTTTTTACTTTTCTTAAAAAAAAAAACAACTCTGCATTTCTATGAATCCGGTGTCCCTTTATTACTAAGGGTTTGATTTTGGAATTAAGCCACAATAACTGCCATCCTCCTCTCCAGTAAGAGTCTCAATTGCTGTGGGTGCCCTTTTGTTCCAGTCATGTAAATTAACCCTTCGTAACAGAGTGATGCCAAGTTCAGAGGGGTGCGCAGAGCAATGTTTTGGGGCATATTGCAGTAGTATGTGTCTTGTGCTGTTCTCTAACATAACTTCTTTTTTTTTTTTTTTTTTAAAGGTGACAGGTTCTATTTAAGATACTCGATCTTCAATCCTTTAACCGCTCGTGGCATTGGTCTTGCCACACTTTTAACAACATTGTATTGTTTATTTAACAGGAAGTAGTCAGATTGAGATTCTGGAGCTAAAAGACTTGAAGAAGGAGTATATCCTTGCTCAGACACGGTTGACATTGGCTCAGCATGATAGCAGTTCAGCAGCAATAGCTGGTAAGAGAATATGAGCAGCGTGTTGGGTGACTGTCTAGGAATTCTGGGATTTGTAGTTCCGAAACGGACGGTGAGCTGTAAGATAAAGTGCATTGGATAAGGCCACAGCTGGTCAGTGTCTTAGTATTTTTAAGAAATGTTCCAGGCAAATTATATATTCTCGTGTGCATTTGTAAATCATAAAATCCTATTTGAATCCATCCATTGTACCAGAAACTTTAAGGTGCAACGTGTCTGCCGAAAGATAAAATCCTGCTGTAAAATCTGCTCCTAGATGAGGGGAGGTACAAAGGGATGGGGGGTGCAACAGTAGATGTCTCGGGGTGGGTATCCACATTTTGATGATTTTTACTTTGTAGCTCAAAAAGCAGACAGAAGTAGCATCACAGAGACTGTAAAATGTACTGTAAAAAGTGTTGTGCCAACAATATTGCATAGCAGGAAGAAATCACAAGAGAATATTACTTTACACATCAGTGGTAAATGTAATTGTTTTTGTACATTTTCCACAACTTATAGGAAGTGCATCAGCTGACGAGATGGTTTCCTTGTTGGTTCAGGCTGGCCTCTTTGATACTGCCATTTCACTGTGTCAAACCTTCAACCTATCCCTGGTTGCTGTGTTTGAGGGCTTGGCATACAAGTAAGTCATTTCAATTGTGCTTTAAAAAGACTTACCAAAGTTAGGCTGTTTCTTTTTTGTTAATGTATAATGCATGTAACATTTTCTTTCACCAGATGCATTAAATTACAAAATGGCGGAGAGGCTGCACAGGCTGAGGCTTGGCAATGGCTGTCTGCCAATCAATTGTCTTCTGTAGTCACCACCAAGGAAACGAGGTAGAATTGAATGTGACGCCAAACTCATTTATTGAAGTAGTCAACCTTTTAGGTCAATGTGGGTTATGCAAAATCTATTCCTTAGGAAATGGAGGCATCATGCTGTGGTTTACTTATTCTTTAATGCTATAAATTTACTGGCAGCATTCTTTCATCCTGTTGAATAAACTAACATTTAAAATGATTCAGCCAGCTTCCCTATGTGTTGTATCACATGATAAGCGGTGCTTGCAAAGGTACCCAGTCATGTCTCAATAAAATAAAGGCACTGCCTATCTCTTCCCCTCCCCCCTTTGGGCTGTACTTGGCTTACCCAGTACTGCTGTTGACAACATTAAGGATGGGTGAACTTTCACTCAACAATCAACCCTATGGTAATTGAACCTGTGAGAACCTAGCTCTGATTGGTTTTGGGTTCAAACCTCCAGTAAGGGCCTGTGTCGATAGGCTTTTGTTTGCTTCCCATACAGGTCTATAGAAATACAAAACCCACTTGAAGGAGATCAGCTGCAGGTTAAATGGACCTGTCAATGAATTCTGAATTAAGCGTCTCAAAGTGACTCCTTCCACACATGCCCAAATACTGGCGGCACAGTCTGCTTAAAGTCCAAACCAGGTTTCGGCATAAATGGAACAAAAAAAGACACCAGCGAAATCTGCCCTTTAAAAATACCTTAACAATGGGGATGCAGATGGGCTCCAATCATGTGATTGCTGTGACAGCTGAAACCAGTGCCCAGTCTCTGCACGGAACAATGGATGTTTAAATGTATTGGGGTGTTCAAGCTCACCTTCTTGCTGCTGCATATATGTGTCAGCTGGTCAGCAAGTGGTTAAGTAGTTAATGCTGATATATGGCCCTGGTCCTGCTACATTTGTTATTTAGACAACTACATTTTGTTGGTTTATTTTTCTTTAGTGCTACAGATGAAGCCTGGAGGTTATTGACTTCCTATCTGGAAAAACATGAATCACAGAACAGTTTGTATCATCGTTGTGTCATTAACAAGCTGCTGTCTCATGGAGTTCCTCTGCCCAGCTGGCTGACGAACAGCTATAAGGTTTGTTATTCTTTAACATATGTGTGACAATGACACTCAACCTGCACAGAGATTTGTATAGACACTTGTTTGTTGTAATTTTATCATACCCAAAACTATGAAATATGGCTGGGTTTTGGCTGTGGCAGTTAGACTCTGCCGGAAATGAGGAGTGCTCTCCCTGCTTCTGCTTAAGTATTTACAAAGGCCTATATAAAAGCTCTGGATTTCCAGCTCCCTCTAAGTGCCCTTGTGATAGCCATTAGGATGTTTCTCCGATCACCAGAGCTAAGTGAAATGGATGATCCTGCTAGAGTTTTGTTTATTCAACTTCATCTGTTTAAGCTGGTTGATATAATGGGAGGTGTTGAGATGTCTCACACACACAAGATTATATTAAATCTACTCATTTTGTTGCTGACTTGCACTTACATTTTTGTCTTATTTACCCATTTTTCCTTATTCAGTTCATTAGAACTCACAATATGGCTGTGCGGAAATGTGACTGCAAAATGTGCAGTCACATTTCCGCACAGGATATTTTCAGGATATTACAATAGATATAAATAGCTGTAATAAATAAAAATACCTGTAATAAATAAAAATAGATGTGTGTGTGATAAAAAAACAAAGCAGGAGAGGTGCTGCAATTCGCATTTAGGGTCGAACATTATAAATATATCTAAAACCAAACTTTTTGGGGGATAGCGAGTTATTGGTTTCTTATTGCCGTCTGTTCTGCGCTGAGGGATTCACAATTTCTTCTTTTTTTTTTAACTTGTTGACTATTGTCACTGAGACAGAAAGGGAGGGGCAATACAAATGTTTACAGATTTTACCAGAACAGGAAGTATTTTACTCTAACTTCCTGTTCTGTTTCTGGGAGAGGAAAATAAGAACTTTCTAACAGGACCCAGGCAGGCAACCATTGCTACTACTAAAAATATGACTTCATTATACTCTGAACCTAATGTGTCTTGTAGCTCTCCAGCTATTGTGAAACTCCAGATCTCAAGGTTTGCTCTTTAGTCTATTTCACAGATCAGCACCGCCAAGTTTCTTGATATTCATTAAAACTTAATAAACAGTAACGATATACATTTGGTCCATGAAAGTTCACGTTTCTTTGCAGGTGGTGGACTCAGCAGAGCTGCTCCGAATGTATTTGAAGTATGATCTTCTAGATGAGGCTGCAGACTTGGTATTGCAATATGTAGATGCCATTTTGGGGAAAGGTCATCAGTATTTTGGGATAGAGGTAAGTGCAGTGCAGCCCAGTTTACTAATATTGTTAAAGCCCAGTTGAGGTTGCAGAAATAGATATTCAGGGCAGAGTTTGCCACTCTCATGTTGGCTCTACCTCCTTGCACTACATTGGGATGAATACATATTGCAGTGGGTGTGGCTATCAGCATGGTCACTGCTGATTCACAAGCCTGTGGCTAGTCATTCAGCCCCTTGTCACACCTAGTCCTGCCCACTGCTTTATGGATTGACAGCACTGCTTCTGTCACTAAAACCCTCCCATTGTAAGCTGCAGTGCTATGTACTATTTACCTGTCATACAGGTGCCTTTAGTTATATTTTAAAGAAATTGTGACAGGTGTCTAAAGTAGTGTATGCACAGTTAGAATTTCGTACGAAATTAGTCGTTTTGGGAATATTCGTTCGGATATCTATCAATTAGTATGGTGCAATCAACAGACAAAAATGAAAATGTTCCCGAAAAGTTTTGAGGGAGCGTGTTGAAAAAAATGTCTTGATCAAACTAATTTCTAACAGTGAATGTGGTTTTCATTCAGAAACTCAATTTGTTCCAAAATATGTTAAATAAAAACGAAATTTTGAACGACAGGCGTGAAGTTTTTGATGCCGGTATCAAACCAATGGGATTTTTCATATGAACATTTGTGCAAACATCTGCCTGTGTATACCCTACTTTAGTTTGACTGTGCAGTCTAATAGACCAGAGTAAGACCCCCTGCTGTCAGTAATGTAACCGATCTGGACGGGCACACTCTTCCCCTTCTCAGCATGTGTCCTTACACAGAACAGTATTGCAGAGGGGGTGGCTGTTCTGCAGCTCTGCCAGCACAGTGCAGTGGGAGGATTAGAAGCAGCATTTCACTGGTAAAAAAAGGTATTTTAAGGCATTTGCAAGTTAAGTCAGGACTATCGAGAGATAAAGCAGTGTGACATTACAACTGAGGTTTGAGTTGAACCCAATGATAAATGAGATGTACTTGCTCCACAGCTGCCACTGTCTGCTATTTCTCCATTGGTGTGGTTGCCATACTCTTCTGTTGACCATCTACTACAAGCATTGGAAGAGAACAGCAACCATCAGCACAACAGAGATGTAAGTGCTTCTGACAATAATTTTTCCTTTCTTACAAAGTTCACTAAATTTTAAAGAACTCTGCTGAACACTATCTGCATTTAAAAATGTGGGATGGATTTACAGATGTACATAAAACTGGCTATATCTATAAGGTATTTCTACATGGGTGATTGCACAACATTGCACGGTGATTGCGTAACATGGGGACATATTGGAACAATAGCACATGAACGAGGATTCTTAGTGGCTCAGTGATCCAACTGCTTAAGGGAACTTGGTGCTCCAAATAAGCTAGGTCACAGACCAGTGATGAGAAGTGTTTTTTTTTTATATATATATATATATCTTGTAACAAGGACACTCCACTGAAATATATTTCAATTAAATAAATCTATTACAAGCCGTTTACTCATACAACACAGGCTTTAGGTCCGTAACGCTGAACTGAGAACTGCGTACACGGCCGTATCGGGCCGCTCCCGGGGAGGACAGGTGTTGTGTGTGATTGTATGCAGCAGCCTGTTCTTCCCTATGGGAGGATGCGGCCGTACGCTGTCCTACGTTCACCCGAGCTGCACATCCGTATAAGACTTGCATTTATAAAGAAAACACGCGCATATACGAATGTTTGAATACAGAGGTGTATTAATTTGCTTCTTTTATATCTGCCTAGAGTTTAACTTTTACTTTAAAACATAAACAAAGCTGATAAATGGTTAAAGGAGATTTTACCTTAAAGAGAACCAGTCAGAAATAGGTATTTATAAGAACCTGAAGCTCTGCTAGGCTATTATATTAGTACAGTCTTACCCCTCATGGTTAGGTGCGTGCTTTTATTCAATTTGGATTTTTTAAGAGCAGTAATGTCCGCTTCGTATGTCATTGTTAGGTCGCTGAGGAACTGACCTGCCTCTTGCCTGATCTCAGGGCTGATCACTGGCAATCTGTCTAGGCAAAATGTCCATTAATAAAGGCAGGAGACATAATTACCTTACAGCACCATACTCTGACTGGGGGGGGGGGAAATCACACGTACTATAAGCAGCACTATTATGTCAATTCAAGGACGGAGCTTCAGAATAGGTGGCTTTTGGTGCCAGACTTCCTCAAACCTTGTTTTATCAGTGGAGGGCCAGGATATTGCTAGGAGTGAAAAGAGCCCTGGAAGAAATAACAGCTCCCATGGAAAATATTTTTTCTTGTGTGCTTAATGATTTCCTGGAATTAAGCTGAAATGTTCAGTATGAGACATAATGAACACTTTAGGTTGATGGTTTGCAGTTTGTGCCTTTGTCATTGGAAGAACCACTCACACCCCCTGTCTTCAATTTCTCAACAGTTACTTGACAAGCTAAAGGCTAAACTGGACGACTATTTCTGCCAGCTGGAGACCTCCACCACAAACCTGCAGACCATTCGGAGAAGCTAGCCATCATCACTGCCTTACATCTTTTTGGAAAAAAAATTTCCACCCCATGTTTTGTAATTATGCTGGAAACTTCCAAATATTGTCACAATCTACTATTTTTTTTTTTGTAAAATAATAAATATTTTCTATTAAGCTTTTATTTGTAGGTTAGTTATATTTTTGTGGTTGTACCTTAGTGTTTGTATATAAAATATGTAATAAAATATTTAAAGGACACTTGTACTGAAAGAAATATATAGGCTGCCATCGCTGAACTCTTGTGTGAAAGTGCTTGTTGCCTGGCTGTCATTCTCTACTAAGGGCTGAAGTATATTCTGAGTCACCCGAGCTGGAGCAAATATGCAGATCGGAAGTTTTAACTTAATTTCCTACATACTTGTTCTATATCAACGGCTCAGTTTTAAAGCCACTGGATTAGCATTTGTAGAATAGAAAGGAGAAGAATGCTCAGCCGTGGAAATCAGTCCAGAAACCATTTTTATTTGTCACAGTAAAAGATGATAGCCAACATGTTTAGGAGGGTGTGAAACTGTCCTCCTTTGTCATAGCTAAAATATAAGAGTACAGTGTGTTGTTTCTCCACCTTCCACATCAGACAGAAAACTGTACTCGAAATACATTCACTGTCAACTTTTTTTTTTTTGACAAATAAAAATTGTATCCGGACTGAATTCCAGGGCTTAGTGCGCTTATGTAGAAGAGCACCATCTTAGGATCCCTGTCTCTATACAATTACAACTGAAATCTTCAGCCTCGACCTCCACCACTCTAATCGGATTAGCATGACAGCAGATAACTAGCATGTTAAAGTGGTCCTTGACGCAAACGTATCCTTCAAAGAGACAAGTCCGTTTTAAATTGTATACCGCTGACATAAGGCTTTCTGCAGCTATTCTTTTGAGTAGGGCCAGCTTGTCACCCTTTCCGCAGCTGCAAGGAGGCCGCCATATACTGTAAGTGGAGGCACAGCCTAATGTGTAGCAGCTCTGTTCCTAGATCCTGCTCCTTTTGACACCATCAGTGTGAATACTGATTAGATACAGGGTGTATGGGTCCACTCTAAAATCTCACCTGTTACGCTGTTAGCTCCTACATTACTGTAGGGTGGAAGTCACTTCTGGGGACCAGGCATCAATTGCACACAAGTGTGCCAGGTCCAGAAGATCTAAAAGCAAGCTTAATTCTTAAACTCTGAGGGGTATGGCAGTGTGGGCAGCGAGACAAGTAATATCGTGCAAGAACTGCTTGTAAAATTGAACCTAGGAGGGATAGATTGTATACCCTTTTCTCCCCTTCTTCCACCCATAGTGCCTAGGTGAGGGTGACTTCATCCTTCTGATGGTGAGATCTTAGGATATAGAGCACTCCAAACCTAGCCAGGAAAACACTCCCAGCATTGTACTGCAGCGTCATCTTGTGAGATTTGGAGTACTAACCACTCCCTGGGATCTCATTGGCAGAAGGATAACATCTAGGGCTGCAACAACTAATCGACATAATCGATTATTGAAAAAGTTGTCAACTTTTTCAATAATCGATTAATCGGCTTCCGATTAGTTGGCCCTGTTCACGGCTCCACACACGCTGTGCGCCGCACCTCCTCCCCACCTCACACTCGCCGCTGCCAGACCCATGTGATGGAGTGCAATCTCAATACAAGCTAGTAGTCCATCACTGGAGCCATTTTTTACATTTTATTTTATTATTTAACCGATTAATCGAACTTAATAATCGGCTAACTAATCGATTTTGAAAATAATCGTTAGCTGCAGCTCTAATAACATCACCCCCCACACAAGTTTTTTTTTTTTCTTCAGTATGCTGTGTTTTTAGTGAGAAAGGGTTACACTTAAAAAAGCAGACCTTGCACAGAATGCTTTATGCTGTAAAAGTGGCGAGACTCGCTCTAAGTAGGAGAGAATTGCAATGGCAGACTTCCTGTTTCTCTCAGCAAAGGGTTCCTGTAACAACTCCAGGTTGCACTGCACATTTATAAAGCACAGCAATATGTTTAATTCTATGCCAGCTTCAGGAGTCTGGGAGGAAAGCCCGGCGGTGTTGTCCACTGCCTTTTAATGTATTATCTTTATTATCTAAAATCGGGATTATTAACTCCTATGGGTGAACCATAGAAGCCTCTGCGAGGTCTAATCCTCGACGAATTAGCTCAATGACGAAGATCTAGAGTCAGTAAAGATCCTCATAGAGGAGAAACATAGGAAGCAAGAAACCAGAATCCCTAGTCTGCAGAAGAACAAGACCAAGAAACCTGTAACAATGAAGTCACCCTGGGACACAAAATTGATATTCAGCTACTCCTAAACAAATGGGCATTGAACAAATAAAGCCCATGGCACAGTGCCCTCTAAAGGTGTCCAACCCAGCCTCTAGGCAGAAAAGGATCTCAGGCATAGAGTCCTGATGGTTCCAAATCTGGACCAGATCAGCCAGGACAAATTGACAAGACACGCCAGGAGAGAGGTCACTGCAGAAGAAGAGAGAACCCTCTAGTAGTCAGCTACTACGTAGAGAGCTAAAACCCATGGAGGAGGACCGAGAGCTGGAATCAGCGGACCTTATGCGGGTAGCTTATAAGGGGTACATCAAAGCAGAAAAGGAACTTTCCCGGACTGCCCCCTGATCCAACCTTACTGGACGAAGATAGCTGACCTAATATGGGTAATAACGGGATTGGACCTACCATTTACTCCATCAGTCTTTCTCCTTCACCTTGCACCGTTCTCACGGAAAGTGCACAGACGCTCTCTGGTGATCCACCTGATCAATGCGGCGAGGACGTGTGTCCCCGCCCAATGGAAGAGCTCCCGAGAGCTTAAAGCTGATGATGTATACTTGCCGTGACTGTACTTGCGGATGATTCCGCCTATTTTGTATTTGGCTGTATTTTGTGGTGCGTGCCTCGCATGCCTTTATAAATAAAGAATATGGAAAAAAGAAAAGGAACTTTCCCAAAACTTACCCAGGGTATGGTAGGGTTGGTATAAGAGATGCTTCATCGACTGGACCCAAAACTCCAAGCCTGGAGAAGAAAGGCACGCCTTCTGAAAGTACACCTATTCCAAGGAGGCAAAGGTGTGCCAGTCAGGTGTTTCAGCCTAAACCGCCTGCACCAAGAGACAAGTGGGGAAGTTCCTTTGGTAGCTGAGCACAGGAGGGGATTTACACAAATGCAAGACAACCTCAGGAACAAAATTCACCTGAAGATTGCTAAACGGAAGGTGATGGCTGCAGCCGAGCTGGAGAATGTAATGAAGGCATCGGAAGAACATTAGAATAATCAATAAAAATTCTTAAACTGATTTTATGTGTACAGAGTTATTTTTTAATGTTCCCGTTATCATGGATGCTACAAATATATATATAGATATAGATATAAAGTGTTTGGGCCGGTTCCCACCTTTGCAGTTTAGGTAAGGTGAGTTTTACACAGAATACCATTGGAGAATTCTTTAGTAGCCCAAAGATCAGCCATCATGTGGGAAGGCGATGGCAGGAGAAGCTGGGCCAGCACAGAAAGTAACTAGACACTCCCAGAAGAGGAGAGGGTTATGATGTGCAAGGAGGGAGGGGGCTGTGCTGATGTTTCTGAGGTACATTGCAAGTGAATGAGAAAAATTATTTCGGGCCTGTTTTCCGTTTGTGTGTGCCGGCGGTGGTGCCTTGTGCTTTTACAATGCAAGGCACTGATTACCTTTTTTTTTAACTTTATTGAAATGTTCAAACAAAGTGACATTTCATTCATTCCTATGCACCACAGCAGAGCAGCGCTGTTTACACAGCAGCGCTGTGTAAAAATTGACAAATGGGGACTTGCGGTGTGAAAAGATGCAGACATACATTTTTCTGCACCGCTCTGGGATGCACAGAATACAATTGTTTTCTATGTGCCCTTGCAGAAGCCTGCGTTACTCAGGTGCACAGAAACACAGGTCCACGCATAATGTGAATGAGCCCTTATGGAAAAGAAACGCACAGTGAGCGACTGTGCTCTTTTCTGCAATTTGTTAGGTTGGTGACAGGGTCTCTTTAAAGAGGATTTTTACCCACCAATTTAATGTATCCCAAAGCAGTTAAGTTTCAGGCATGCCAACTGCCTAGGACCAGACTGCTTTTTTCAGCTCCGTACATTCAAGCCCTCAATACGGAAAATTGTATACTTACCTATCGGTAATTTTCCTTTCCTGACGCCAATACATGGCAGCATTACCGAAAATTGTATACTTACCTATCGGTAATTTTCCTTTCCTGACGCCAATACATGGCAGCATACAATGGGGGGCGGAGCCATACCCATTGTATGCTGCCATGGATTGGCGTCAGGAAACGTCTGTTGTCATAGCTGATCACATGTGCAGCTGCGTGGGCAACTGCAATCCAAATAGAGGCCAAGATGGCGCCTTTGTTGGCTGTAAGAGGTTGTAGTTCCACTTTAAAGATCCATTTATGCGTTGCGCAATATGCTATTAACGTACCATACGAACATTAGTGCACTGCGGTGCCATTCATGTTCAACAGCACCCCAAATCTCTAGGGAATGCACCTGTGTTGCAGCATAATGCACAGTACCAACGCCTACCCCCATGCGTTGTGTATTTGCAGATTAGTGTGGCTACATTTAGAGCAACGCATGTTAGCAATGCACCGGAACAGACAGGTGTACGTCCGTACTATTTCGCTCACAGGTTTGTTTCCAGAAGAGAGAAGGAAAAGACAGACATTGGGGATCACGGGCTTGACGGGAAAGCTAGACTGCATGACAGCGGACCGGCGCCCGGAAGTGACGTGTTAGTTCCGCGACCCGAGCTGTGAGGGGAGCCCCTGCGCGCTCTCATGGGGAAGAAGACACGGACTGTGTCAGGCCGGAGACCTATACTTCAACTCTCCCCTCCAGGACCCCGCGCTGCCACCCGGGAGGAGGCCGGCTCTGGTTCGGATGGTAAGCCCGCGGCTGGTGCGTAGGGAGCGGCGGTGTGGGGGAGGGGAGCACGTCAACTCTTTCTCATCAATGGAGCGCAGTGGCGGCGTACACAGCTACAGGGCTCGTGTCTGTGCCAGAGCAGGCCTCAGTGTCACTGTATGGTGGCCGCCTATGCTCTCTAGAGCTGCGTTCGCTGCCCTACACTGACCACTTGAGCTTTGTGACCAGCGTTTATAATGACTCTGTTTATTTGCTTAAAGTTTGAGAACCCAACACTGAGACAAATTAGCCCTCTGGGAGATTTCCTGGCCAACAGCTTAGTGTGAAGAAAGGGACGGGGATTGCACTGACGTCGACCAAATGGGGCCATTTCTGCATTTGCTTAATGACAGGCGGCATCCCTGTCCTCTTTGTTTACATTCAACAGGGTCTGTTACAGCTGGCACCTGAATAGGGCAGGGGATGCCTCAGTGGTTTGGACTGGTGGGGGGAGAAGGAGGATCCTGGAAGTTGAGGGGTTTGAGTCTGGAATTGGGCTTTAAAATATAACAAAGGTTCTAGCCTTTTGTCCATGCTATTCAAACAGATTGTGAAATAAAAATGTCTGTCCTAAGCTGTTTGGTAGTTAAACTGGTTTTGTTAAGTTAACTTCTTCTTGAAGTGTCAGCATATTCTGTGTGAGTACACCCTGTCATTACAGTACAGGGCGCTGTCAGAAGTTTTCATTCTTTCTTTTGTTCCTGTGTTTTTGTGGGTTCTCTCCCTGGGCACTCCAATTTCCCCCAAGCCACCTAATAATCTGCTGCTTGGTAGAAAAAAAATGTTTTTCAAGAATAATTTTTTGTTTATTTTCTAAAAAATCAACTTGCATCACATGATCAAATTCATATTATAAATAAACAGTTCTAGACAATTCACTGTACAAACACATACAGGCAAAATCCTCATCATTAGAACTCTTATCCCACCTCCCCCTTAAAAACGTAAAGGGTTATTAAACCCTCTGTTTTTTTGGCATATATCTACTAGATATATGCAAAAAGTGTAAAAAAAAAAACCAAAACGCTTTAAAAAAGGTTAATACTTACCTGTTTCTTCCCTGCGCGCTCCCGTCCGAAAATTTGAAAATTCTCGGGCGGCCGCAAAGCATCTTGGGGGGGGGGGTGCATGCACAGTTCACATTCTCAGCTGAGAGACGCACGGTAAGTATATGGACGCATGCAGACATTGTAGGACAGGAAGTGCAAGGCCTAACAAACCCAAGCCCTGTGCCCTCTAGAGAGACAGAGCCAGCTGTCAAAATCAGGTGGTGGGATGGATCCCAACAGCAGCACGGCTCTGTGGTGCGTCCGCTATATGCTGAGTTTTGGGTCACAGGAGGACATTAGTAAATGCCCTCCTGTGACCCTGAAGAGAACTATGGCAAAAAAAGGTTGGGCCATAGTTCTCTTTTAATTATTTTACTCGGCCCATAATTTCATATGGGTATTAACCACATTCATGTATTTTTATTTTTTTTACAGCCGAAAGCTTTAGAAAAGAGGTATCAGGCTGTGAAAGAGAAAAAAAGCTTTTGTTAAATGAAAACACAACATAGCTCAAATCAGCCTGACCTCTAGTAATTGGTGTAACTACTGCAATGCTGTTATGGTAAATGTATTCACTTGGCTTTTTTTCCCCACTGACAGATGATACAGATTCCCAGAAGGTCATTGCTCTTCCCACTACAGGAATGATCCCCGAAGTGAAGCCTGTAGTGGTAAAGCCTACAGGTAAGCTGCATGGCACTGTAGTGGTCGTTAGGTTTGGGTTTAATGTCAGTAACCTTGAAACCATTCTCTATACAGTAGAATTCTTTAGTGATGTGCCTAGGGTTTTACCAAAATAGATGAACTGAGGGGGATAGAAGCTGCAGGGTGTTCTGGTGTTATTTTAAAGAAGACTTCCCCAGCATCTGTTTAAATATGCTCTTGGCTTGTCATGAGCTAAATCTGGAAGCCATTTACATCTAAAGACGTGCAAGCGAGGGATTCCCTGGTTTTCTCAATATTCAAAGCAGAAAGAAGAAATAGAGTCTCCAGAGATGAATTCCCTATTTGCATGTATCCTCTGCAACCTGCTCCCAAACCATTTTCTTTTTTGGCCCCTCTTACAGTCATTTACCCCCAATCTAAAATCATCCATTCACACCCTTGGTTTACTGTCGGAACTTGAAGTATATCTAAATCCAAGAACACAAATTTCATATATTGCAGCTTACCAGTCCCTCAATGTAGACCGTTTTTTTTTAATTTTATGTTCGTCTGATAATCCTGCAAATAACACACTTCCTGTCCTAAGATTGCTACACTCACTCACTACTCTGTATCTTTGGGGAAAGCCATGGTGGTTGTTCTAAGCCACTCTCATCATTTTCGGAACAAAATGTGTAGTTCACAAACGTTGGCTTCCTTCCAAGCTATCTTTAGTAATTTCAAGATCATCAGGTACTTTGAACATTTTCTTATATTGAAAGATGAAAACTAATGCAGCCACCATATTTAAGGACTGATAAGCTTCAGTGTATTGTTTTTCTTTGGTTCAGATATTTTGTGTGTCTTATAAAGTAGCCACCACACCAAGCTCACTCCTGTGATGGACTACAATCTCACGTTTGGTTTAATAATTTGTATTTAGATTGTAGTCCATCATGGGAGTGAGCTTGATGTGGTGGCTACTTTATAACATACACAGGGACCATGGGGAACAGAAGGAAGCACAGTGTCAGCACCAATTCAGAAATGATTTGAGGATCTACAGACGAGTGATACACAAATAACATACATTTTTGTTAATAGTTAAGGTGCTTGAATGAATTTATAATATTTTAAACTGCTTAGTTTAGTGTCACTTTAATATTCTCCGACTACACAGTTGGTCTAATCTGTTTTAAATCTACAGGTGGTCTTTGTCTGCTTGGGGCATACACAGACAGCGATGATGAAGAAGGTGACTTGTCAGAGAACTCCAAGCCTACCCCTGCTACAAAAGCAAATACTCCCGCTGACATTGACAGTACTCTGGCCAACTTCCTTGCGGTAAGAACTTAACACATGTGCACTGGATGCAAATACATATCCACCACTGGTGTACACTGTGTAGCAAAGTTGGCATCCCATTCCATGCACTTTAGTTCTAGGTGTTTGCATTTGCTGTTTCTGAGTTGCAGAAATACTTGATTTTTTTAAGTGGGAATCTTCTTTAAAGGAGAACTATGGGGAGAGTGAAAAACACTCATCCCCATAATTAGAGTCAACCTGTGACACTGAAGCTGTCACACTTCAGCTCTATTAATCGAGAACTGTGCGGTCACATACCCCTGATCACTCAGTTCACTATCTTCTCCCTGCGGAGAGGGATGTCCGTCAGTCACCGCTCCGCGCAGTGATTCCCCCCTCCCCTCTCTGTTCCTTCTGCGCTCATAGGGGGGACAGAAGGGGGAGTGGGTGAGCACAGCTGGCTCTAGAGAGGCAGAGCCAGCTGTCAATTAGATAGGCGGGGTGGATCCCCGAAAATATTGTCATGACTTTTTCTGGCCACAGCGCAGCTCTGCACTGTCGGCATATAGCGGACAATAGCCCACTATATGCTGAGTTTTGGGTCACAGGAGGGCATAGTAAATGTCCTCCTGTGACCCTAAAGAGAACTATGGCCAAAAAAGATTGGGCCATAGTTCTCTTTTAACTGTTTTGTTCCCAGAGGTCATTAAAGCTTCAATGTCCTTAGTAGCATTATTTAATTCTCTTTATGCTCTATTATTTCTCAGTGCAACATTCACACTGCATGTGATCAGTATGTCATAGCTGACATAGTGAACACGTATTTGGAAATCACTTTGGTTTTGAATTGCTAGTGGGGACCAAAGCTGTCAGCGGTGGCTGAGTTTGACAATAGCTGTGCAGTGTATCAACTGGTAGTCGTCAAAGGAATGATGTTTATGAACATATCCTCAGCATGGGGCATCATCCTGGGAAATATTAATATAGAAACTGCAGGCAGGAATGGGTTGAAAGACATCGCCCTCAATATTGGTGAAAGGAACTGCACAATGTCCATACATTGCAATATTCTTTGCATTTGTATCTCAATATCCTAAAGGTTTCCTTTTTTATCAGGAGATAGATGCTATTACAGCTCCTGCATCTTCTGGAGGGGAAGATACAGCCACTTCTGCAGCTCCTCCACCAACTCCTCCAAGGCCAAATCCAAAGGATTCTCACAGCGTGACCTCAGCTACTCATAATGGAGCAGATCCAAATGCCACAGGGGATTTGTGGCATTATGACACTCAGTGTTCTCTGGCTGGAGGTAAGAATATACATATCTGAGTTCTGGACGAACTTCTTCTGTGTGAACTGTTCAATATAATTGATTTCTAATTGTATGTTGCTTTAGCTGCAGTCGACATGGGAGACTGGCAGGAAGTGTGGGAGGAGAACACCGGCTGTTATTACTATTGGAACATTCAGAGTAATGAAGTGACATGGCAGCTTCCTCAATGTCTGGCTACCCAAGTACAGGGAGCTCAAGGATATACAAACAGGTGAGGTCTTCATTTTTTGATTTCTGCTCTTCCCCATAAGTACTAAATGTAAGTTATAATGGAATGTTTTACATCAAGGTCCTGGCTGGCAAGTGCAGCTTTACATACATTGGCTGTAATGTAAATATGTAATGTATGGAATGTTGTTGGCTTTCAGCAGTGAGTCTTCAGACTTAACCAACATAGTTGCATCCGAGACTGCTCCAGAGGTGAAAGAAGATACCACAGGCCCAGCCGTCAGCAGCATGCCAGTTCTTCCCAAAAGAGAACCAAAGAAGGTATGTGGTTGTGTATTCATTAGGGCTATAAGTAGCAGTAAAGCCTTAGAGTAAGATGCCTGCAAGTATATTTCCTCCTTTTTTTTTCTTTTTTTTTCTTGTGTGTATTTTTAATGCTGACAAGTTCTAAGCTTAAAGAATACAATTCATATCTGTCCCTGAGTCCCAAAATAGCTCAAGCACAAATGTCTGACTACCATGCTTATATTTTTAGTGACATTAAACCTTTTTGGGGTTTTTTTTGTTGTTGTTTTTTTTATGGTTGCCAGACCTGCTTAAAAAAAAAAAAGGTTTTTTTAGCTTTTTTTTTTTTTTTTTTTAAATTTCCTCATTCTCAAGTGTTATCCAGACCGCTAACCCGCTCCATACAAGTTCCTCCATCAGCTACAACTGCTGTGGAGACACTCGTACATGGATAGTCATGGCTGTGCCCGCACCTAGCTGTGTGAGTCCATAGACACACACACCGTGCGGCTTGCCAAGCCCCCCACCCTTGCATTCATAAGTTGAGCCTATGGATTCTCTGCCCTCAGTACCCTCCCAGGCAACCAGGAAGTGCAGGAAAACATGTCTATCTTCTCAGTCACGGTGGAGGAGACGAGTGGCTGCAGGTAAGTGGGGGGGCTATTAGAAATGCGCTGGGTGTTTTTATTCCTTGATGTACCCAGCCTTTAATACTAGGTTAAATCAGATTTTCTTGTGTGCACCCATGGTGCCCCCTAATGCTGTATAACGTTGCACTTTACAGAGGCCTTGGCTTTTGCTGACATTCAAAGCTTTGTCATGCTCCTTGCCTTCCACAGCACAGTGAGTTCACTGCTACTTGCTGTTGAGCTTCCTCACTGTATCCCACAGACTAGTGAGAGGAAAAGTCGAGGATTCTATACTGTGTACTTTCAGCATAAGGGGGCACCCTAGACCACACAAAACAGTTTGGTGAATGGGTACCCTAAGATGCCCTCCCATTGGTTGTTGTGTAAGAGGGCAAGACAGGCTCTCCATTAAACAAGATTTTCTTTAATGTTTACAATATAGTCATTATTATTTTAGATTGTAAGCTCTCATGGGTAGGGCCCTACTTTCCATCTTGTCTTGATTTGTATTTTAACTGTAATGTCTTCCTTATATTGTAAAGTGCTGCACAAACTGTTGGCGCTATATAAATCCTGTATAATAACAATCACGAGCTGCCATTTTTATATTTGAATGCTTTAACAACCAAGTTAGGAAGCAGTAGCTTCTAAGTTTCTTGTAAGTGGTGCAAGGCCATTTTTCTTGAACTTCCCTGACTGCTAAGGCAAAAAGAGATTGATGTCTTGTTTGTGGGTGGAGGGGGCGGGGCTGGTAACGGCCTTATTTAAGGAAGCCCCCTATGCTTGCGCATTTTATTCAGAATGCATTACTTATCCTAGCGTGCAATAAACTGGACTTTTGTATCCTAGGAGGTGAATGAGGGAATCCAAGCCCTTTCCAACAAAGAGGAGGACCGAGTGGGTGTGGCAGCATCTCTGCTCGCCCCGCTGTTACCAGATTCTGTGAAAGAAGAGGAGGATCGCTGGAGGCGGCGAGTCATATGTAAAGAAGATGTGGTTGAAGCTGCCGTTGAAGAGGAAGAAGACATGGCTGCCGTCTGCGCTGATATTGAGCTGGCTGCTGATGAACAGGTCCAGGAAGATGTCTGTAGTACTGTGCAGTCTGGAGAGAGCGAGGAAGAAATGGAGGAGCAGGATACTCTGGAACTGGAGAGAGTGCTGGAGAGGAAGAAGGTATATCCTTGTATGTTAAAAGAGAGATCCCATGAAGACAAACCACTCTGTGAGAAGTTTCCATTAGAGGTTAATATTTCCTGACGAATGAAGAAGGCATGCTTGTTCTGGACCAGCAGCTTAAAACTTGTAATAGAGCTGAATAGGAACAACGTCACAACCTTGAAACTAATATGGCGTCTAAAAGTTAAATGGCTACTTTTTTCATATGCTTCTGAGGGTGTTTTCTTGCATCAGAAAATATGTTCAGTAAAGGGAAGCTGTACCTGACAAAACTAACCTTAACCCACCTTCCCCTAGCTCTGCTGAAAGCATCTCTATACCTAAAAACATAATATACTGCAGCTTACCACCTTATATGTGCGGGCGGCGGCATTCGTTTTCTTCAAGCTTTTTTTTTTTTTTTTTTTTTTTAACTTTTACCTGGTCTTTCTACTAGTAACTCGCTTCTATTCCAGGATAACAATTACCCTGCTGTATCAGGACAGCAGAAACAGAATAGTACTTGATTAATCCACCCCTCTTCTCTGTTACATAGAAGGACGTGGTTCTGGTGTCCTCAGAGATGTGTAAAGCCAACCATTCACCTCTAGATTATCTGCAGATTTTCTATGGTCGGATGGAAAAAGTGCCACAGATTCCTTTTATCTGCGCTAAACTGTGTGGATGGAGGAATCTTCCTCTGGGCCAAGTTTCAGTATCTTGCTAGACAGTCCCACTGGCTGTCAAAATACCTGGACAATCTGATTGGATGCAGGCATTGTTCAGGCTTTTTGAGAGCCAGCGGGTCCGGCTAGCAAGATAGTGAAACTTGGCCCAGTGGAATATTTCTCCATCCACACAGTTTAGCGTAGATGGAGGAATCTTGCACTTTTTCCATCTGACCATAGAAAATCTGCAGGTAATCTATAGGTGTATGGCCAGCTTAAGAACAATGTAACTGATACAGTCAGGGCACAGCAAGTTTATCAACTCACAAATTTCTGGCAATATCAACTGACAATTTCTGATCCTTTCATCCAGATTTTAATTCTATATTTAACAGACCAAAAGGGACAAAATAAGAGAATTTCATTGTTAGGATTTTTATATATCCTTGGAACTAATTTACACGAAATCCCACCACTCTTATCCCAGCTACTTACCTCCGTGGCACAGCTGCAGCTTGCTTTGAGATTTATAGCCTTTCTATCTGCTAATAATGCTGCTAATGTTTAAGGTGTCTCTAGTGTGTACTTTTTGTATAATTCCTTACAGCTTCTTTTGCCTGGCAACATTTGGAGTGTTTTGTTTTTTTGCACTGTTTGAAAATACAACCTGGTATTCTCCTATTAACAGGCTGAGCTCAGAGCGCTAGAAGAAGGGGATGTCAGTCTGTCTGAGTCCAGCCCACGTTCAGACTTCAGCCAGTCAGATGAACTGAAGGCGAAACCTGTTCTCAGCAAGTGGAAGGTGTTTGTTCCATCAGCCAGCCCCGAGTCAACTAGTCGCAGCTCCTGCAAGACGGGTCGGGATACGCCAGAGACTGGTGAGATAATGCAGAGTTTGTAAGATTTCTTGGCCTGTCGACCATAGGACGCAGTTCATTCAATACTGAACGATAGGGTTGCTTTTAAAATGTGAAGATCCTTTCCTCACCATGTTTTGATTCCTTTCATATCTCTGGGCTCATTTTGTTTATAATTCTTTTTTCCCTTGTGTTTAGAAATAGTGGCAGAAGCTGCAGAGTGTCCAGCTCCTGTAAAAGAGCCCGAGAGTGAAGCTGCACCAGTGAAACCGGCTCCAAAGCAAGGGGATGAGGAAGATGATGATCTAAAGGTAATTCTTGAGTCCTCTTGGTGTTCTAAAAAAAATGCTAAAGGGTTCAATATTGAGTTTGCCCACCCTTTGCCGCTATAACAGCTTCCACTCTTCTGGGAAGGCGTCCACAAGGTTTAGGAGTCTATGGGAATGTTTGACCATTCTTCCAGAAGCGTATTTGTGAGGTCAGGTACTGATGTTGGAGGAGAAGGCCGGGCTCGCAGTCTCCGCTCTAATTCATCTCAAAGGTGTTCTATCGGGTTCAGGTCAGGACTCTGTGCAGGCCAGTCAAGTTCCTCCACCCCAAACTCACTCACCCATGTCTTTTATGGACCTTGCTTTGTGCACTGGTGCGCAGTCATGTTGGAGCATGAAGGGGCCATCCCCAAACTGTTCCCACAAAGTTGGGAGAATTAAATTGTCCAAAATGTCTTGGTATGCTGATGCCTTAAAGGAGAACTATGAGGCTGCGGTGGTCTCAGTATATCGCGAGCTGTAGCTCGCGATATACTGAGCTTTGGGTCACGGGAGGATGCTAGTTTATGTCCTCCCCTGACCCTTAGGACTATGGGGGAAAAACACTTAGCCCGTAGTTCTCCTTTTAAGTGTTACCTTCACTGGAACTAAGGGGTCAAGCCCAACCCCTGAAATATAACCGTTTTCGCTAATAACATTAGCGATAAGGTCTGGATACACATTTTTGCTCTATAGGGGACTTATCGTTCGCTTACATAGCCCCTTATGGGTTACGGTTGTGGAGCTGGTCTGGCGTTGCTTGGAGGCTTGGCTCGTCTATTCTTTGTGTTTCAGTAATCAGACTACCTCCTATTCTTCTTGAGAAAGCATACAGCGAAAGGTGTCTGGGATCTGGGTGACTCTCCAATTGGAGGAATCACTACATTTGGGAGTTTAGACGATTTAAGATGCTGATATGACTTTTTCCTCCCTTTTGGGGGACCCAGGAGGTGGTAGCTAATTTCTGTTGGAACTTAATTCTTCTGGATAACAAGCAATTGAAACAGACATTTTTGTAAAATCTTTTAATATTTTTTTAACTTCGGAATAACATTATATTTAAATCAAATGTGTGATTTGGTGCCTTTTTAAAAACCCTTTTCTATTTTTGTACATGGTTTTCATTTACATTTGTATTTGGCTTGCTTGTACAGAGTGTATGGTTTATGTTTAGCAAAGTCAATGAATATTTTGCAGTAACAATTATTATTTTTTTCTAATGCAGTTCCAGATTGGAGAGCTGGCTAATAGTCTAATCAGTAAACTGGAATTTTTGGGCATAAACAGGCAATCTGTGTCCAACTTCCACGTGCTGTTGTTTCAAACTGAGGTGAGTGTTTCCAGCCTTGTCCGGTGTTGTATTTATTGCATCATGTTTTACTAGGTGGTTTCAAAAATGATGTACTTCAGGTGGAGTCTCTAACTTCCAATCCAGCTGAAACAAGCAAGTCATGTCTCTTGTCTTGGGTCCAAAGTAGGGATGCACCGATACTTGTATCAGTATCGATGGCGAGTACTCGTACTCGCCCAAATGCTCCAGTGCCTAGCCCGATACTTCCGGTATCAGGAAGTTGGGCAGCACGTCATTACACGCTGCGCGGCTTCCAGATTGGCCGGGAAGCCGGCTCCATGCTTCTCGTCACCTCATGATGAGAAAGCATTGAGCCGGCTTGCTGGCCAATCATGACGAGGGAGCATGGAGCCGGCTTCCCGGTCAATCAGGAAGCCGGGCGCTGCGTTATTACAGAGCACCAAGCTTCCTGATTGGCCAGAAAGCCGGCTCAATGCTTTCTCGTCAATAGTTGACGAGATGCATGGGGACAGCTTCCCTGCTAATCAGGAAGCCAGGTGGCGAGTCATTACACGCCGCCTGGCTTCCTGAATGGGACTTCCGGTATTCAGTATCAGCGAGTACCCAAAAAATAAATATCGGTACTCGATACTGAAATACCGATATCGGTGCATCCCTAGTCAGAAGTAGAAAAAGGGTTTCTATTATAACTGGAAAGCCCTTTAAGATGTTCGGAGAATGTGAGTTGTAAGCGGAGACTGGCACACTAGAGAGGAAAGCAGAACCCAGATCGTACATTTGGAGGGTATTGAATCCCAGTCCCCTGTGCTCACAGCTGCATAAATGTATTTCTTTTGTTGTCTCCTACAGACTCGAATCTCAGATTGGAGGGAAGGGGCACTCACTGGAAGCTACCTGAAACGTAAACTGCAAGACGCATCTGAACAAATAAAACAGTATGAAATTAACGCCACCCCTAAAGGCTGGTCCTGCCACTGGGACAGGTACGAATCTTCCCCAATTTTCACCTTTCACATCTCAAAACATGACTTGTGACATCACCACCTGACCTCGTGACCTCATCTGTCTGGAGACTGAACATGGCCGCACTTTAGGTTCTGGGTGGGCAGATCCCTGGAGCACAGTGAGCGCTTGGGCCTGCACATTGGAGAAACTTAAGTTTTTTTTTCTCATAACTGTGTATGCATTTTGTCCATGTAAAGCCTTTCCTGAGTGGACAAAAAAAAAAAAAAAAGGTTGGTTAATACTCACTCCCAGTGCCAGGTGCACTGATGGGGCAGGGACAGGGGGATGCGCATGCGCGAGCTCTGTGACCATTTCAGGATCTGGATCCTTATCCTTTCCCGTCTTGAACCAGTGAAGTTACGGCAAGCTTCATGGCCCCAAGCGTCGATGAAGAACAAGATGCCTCCCGTGATACAGGTCAGACCAAACTTATTTCTTTTTTTTATATTTTGTCTTCTTTTTATGATTATTGTTATTAATTTTTTTGTTGATGGCTTTTTTTTTCTGTACTTTGTGCTTTAATTGAAGATCTTTGCTCTCTTATCTTTCAGCTCTAAGAAAATATACACATACCTATTTAATTCCTGCGGATATCACATTTGAACTTATTCCCAGAATGGTGGTGTCAACCATCCCCAGCTGTATTAAGCATTTAAGCAATTTGTTATCTTAATTCTGATCTAGTGTCTAGGGCTTGCCCTGTGTTCAGAGTCGCATAACGATGCTCTGCAAACCAATGCCAGCCAGTTTTAGGATGGCATTTTTTCCTTTAAAGTTGAGATCATTTTTGCCAGGTTCCCTCCTGTTGGCTGATTTGCAGCTGTGGGAGTGAGGACCTTATTGGGCGAATATCCGAGGGGCGGATATTTAAAATCTTTGTCTGTTTTTTGTGATTCAGGAATCATAGGCGTTATTTCTATGTTAACGAAATCTCAGGAGAGTCACAGTGGGAGTTTCCCGATGTGGATGATGAAGAGGAGGGGTCTGCACCCCAAAGTAGAATCCAAGCAGCCTCTAAATTGGCTGAAAAGGACAAGGCTGAAGGTGTCCCGGCTCTTCCTCCTCAGCCACCAAGTATCCCAGGTATTTTTTATTTTCCCTTCAATATTTGTTTATTGTAATTCATTTGTGTTTGTTTTATTCCATAACATTTTGTAATGTACAAACTAGGGATGCGCAGATACCAAGTACCGTACTCCGTACAAGTACAGATACTATTCCAGCTCCAAGACTGGTTTACAGAAAAACTCAAACGTTAGGAGGCAGCTGTCATTTTTAAGGAACATTGGTTAAGGGGCTCCTGGGATTTGTGGATCCCTGTTTTAATGTATGATTTGTTATATATAGATAGATACACTATATTGCCAAAAGTATTGGGACGCCGGCCTTTACACGCACATGAACTTTTCGCTGAATCCCAGTCCCAATCCTGAAGGTTCAATATTGAGTTGGCCCACCCTTTGCAGCTATAACAGCTTCAACTCTTCTGGGAAGGCGTCCACAAGGTTTAGGAGTGTGTCTATGGGAATGTTGGACCATTTGTGAGGTCAGGTACTGATGTTGGACGAGAAGGCCGGGCTCGCAGTCTCCGCTCTAATTTATCCCAAAGGTGTTCTATCGGGTTGAGGTCAGGACTCTGAGCAGGCCAGTCAAGTTCCTCCACCCCAAACTCGCTAATCCATGTCTTTATGGACCTTGCTTGGTGCACTGGTGCGCAGTCATGTTGGAACAGGAAGGGGCCATCCCCAAACTGTTCCCACAAAGTTGGGAGCATGAAATTTGTTCAAAATGTCTTGGTATGCTGATGCCTTAAGAATTCCCTTCACTGGAACTAAGGCACCAAGCCCAACCCCTGAGAAACACCCCCCTCCATAATCCCCCTCCACCAAACTTTACACTTGGCACAATGCAGTCAGGCAAGTACCGTTCTCCTGGCAACTGCCAAACCCAGACATGTCCATCGGATTGCCAGACAGAGAAGTGTGATTTGTCACTCCAGAGAACACGTCTCCACTTCTCTAGAGCCCAGTGGCGGCGTGCTTTACAGCACGGCATCCGACGCTTTGCATTGCACTCGGTGATGTTAGCCTTGGATGCAGCTGCTCGGCCATGGAAACCCATTCCATGAAGATCCACTTTGTTATAATACCACTAACAGTTGACCGTGGAATATTTGGTAGAAAGGAAATTTCACAGAACACTTGAATCCAATGATTTGGAGCGGTCTCCCAATTCTTTTGACAATATTGTGTGTGTATGGATGGATGTGTTAGTCTTGGGATCCATGCTCCCCTGCCAGATAGGGAATCAATAACCTTACTTGGGTGATTCATCAGCCTGCTGAGGTGAAGGTGCTGGTCAGGCACAGTAGTCGTACAGACCACTAAATAAAACATGGGTTAAATAAAAACTGTGAATTAATAAGCTAAAATTTTGACACATTTTGGGTGCAACTAGTTTGAAGATTGTATTGTAAGTTTTTATTGTATTTATTATGTTTATTGTTCTCTCTTCCAGATTCCGTCTCTGCTAAAGCACCAACACCCCCCAGCGCACCAGTCGGTCAGTACTGGAACTATGCTCATCAGCCCCCTCTGCCTTTAGATAGAGGAGGTTGAAATGGAAGAAGATGACAATGTTGAACCACCAGTCCCAGGAATGGAGGACATAGTCATCACCTCTGTCAATATTGAGATACCTGCTCCTAAGGTAAGGGCACGATTTGTAAAAGACTGGATTAAATTTATAGGGGCTTGTGCCAGCAATGAAGGGCCACATGTTTTAATAGCCTCAAGGCGCATTTGGAAAGTTAGTAATGGGAAAGGATCAGCTGAAGGGAGATCACAGGCAACACTTTTGCCTGCACTTTTTGGGCACAACTTCCAGAATTCAGTTCCTCCTTAAGGCCAGTAGGGGCCCCAGGCATTACATTTTTGAACAGCAGAGGTTCATTTGGTTTCTAATCGGAGCAGAATTTGAGACCTATGTGTTTGGACTATAAGATAACATATTTGTTCTTGTCATTTCAGGTGAAACATGAGCAAGCTGTATCTGGAAAAGTCTCAAAGAGAAAAGCCACAGATGTGTTTGCAGAACAAACGGTGACAATAGGAAGTTGTCCTGTGCTGTACACTCAGCAGGCCATCTCTGCAGGTCAGGATTGATTTACTTTCCTCTGTAGTGTGGTTGGTTTTTGGCTTGTGAGCAACTTGGATAACATTTCAGTGCTTTTATTCCATCAGGCCCTGCCATAACTACTATGAATGTTGCACCCAGTTATATGGGACTTCCCCTCCAAGTCCCTGCACCTCTGGTGATGAGCAGTTTGGAGTATACTATTCCAAGCAGTACTATGGTGCCACCTATACCACTTGTGATGCCACATGCAAACATACCGATTCCGACAGTGCCAGAGCCACAGGCCCCACCCTCGCAAGCACCACCACCACCTCCAAGCAAGCCACAAGCAACAGAGAAGCTGAAAAAGTCAAAAAAACTAAAGGTATTGTGTTATTTACTTGCTCAGTACAAGAACTGCTCTTTGGTAGTGCTCAGGTATCGTATTTAGAGCTGCAGGGCTCCTTTATTTAATGAATTCACAATAATGATGTTACTTTCCAGCAAACCTTTCATTTAGGGATGTTCAGATACCAAGTACCGTACTCGGTACAAGTACAGATACTTTTGCAGCTCCAAGACTAGACTAGAGAAAAACTCAAAAATTAGGAGGCAGCTGTCATTTGTAAGGAACGCACGGAGCTCCTGGGATTTGTACATTCCCATTTTAATGCATAATTTATAAAAAAAAATTAAATATATAAATAAGGGATGCACTGATACCATTTTTTCAAGTACAAGTACTTCTCAAAGTCCTCACAGATACAAGTACTGATACATTTTTGTTGTCATGTGACAGTCTGTATTGTTTTAGATAAACTAATGATTTCAGGACAGTGGTGGAGCACCAGAGCCAGGTCCCAGCTGCATCCCTGATAGTTCTCGTGAATATGACAAGTATCGACACTGGTATCTGGACATTCCTACTTCATTAATTATATGTACTTTTTTTTTTCCCCTTAGTTTTGGATGGATTAGGGAATTCCCCGTCTGTGGTACATTTTAGAAATTTCTCTCAGTTCCTCTCACAGACATGCAATAAAAATTGAGTGGCTATCTCTCCCCCTATGCAAGGTTTCCCAACAACAAACACATTACCACTCCCCACACTTATCCTAAACAAGATATAAATATATGAAGTTTACCTTGATACATTTTTAGGTTTCCCAGAGACTGTTGTGGCTTTATTCTTAAAGGATCATTAAACCCTTTTGTATTTTATGCATATATCTACTGCTAGCAAGCAGTTGATATATGCAAAAATATTAAAGAAAGTTAAAAGGGTTCAAACTTACCTGTGTCTCCGCCACTTGCTCCTGTCCGAAGATCGGAAGATTCTCGGGTGGCCGCAAGGGATCACGGGGCAGGCAGATGCACAGTAGAGACACGGGTAAGTCAATGCAGGCAGTGTGCACGCGCAGAGACTCTGTGGGACAGTAAGAAACAGGAGTCAGCGCTGGATCAGAGACCAGCGCTGGAGAGACTGGTGAATACTACTGGAAAGAAGATCGGATCAAGAGGCATCATTTAAGGTAAGTCCTTATACCAGCATTGGGGTGGATTTTGGCTTTAATGTCACTTTGTGCTCATAAACATTGACAGAGCAATCTGTTCTATTTGTTTTCTCTTTCAGCCTGCGCCTTCTTGCTAACACAGCAAACACAAATGTGAAATACGTGTGTGTGTGTGTGTGTGTGTGTGTGTGTGTGTGTGTGGAGCTTCCTGGTGGGATTTAGATAAAGAGTCCCATAAATTTGTGCTTCTAGTCTCTGATCATCTTCTCTGATCTTGTCTGTAGGTTAAGAAGAGTAAAGTTAAGATGCCCTCCCTGGTCCAGAAGTGGCAGAACATCCAGAAGGAGCTGGATGAGGAGGAGAATTCTAGCTCCAGCGATGAGGACCGATGTGTTGTTAACCAAAAACGTATTGAGGAGTGGAAGGTTCATCAGATGAGCAGGTATTGGTTAGGAGCTGGGCAAATTACGAATTACAGTCACTTAGCATTTTCCCCTTTTCCATTGCAAAAAGTTTTATTCATTTTAAACCTACAAATCAAAAATGAACACGTACTTTAAGATCGAAGACAGGAAAACCGGTGCAAGAGAACCAATCGGATCAGAAATATCAAACATGTTCATTATAAATGAAATAAGCATCTGTCACATTAAACAAGGACAAGTGGGAACAAATCGTAGAAGGGTAGACAAGAACCTTATCACCACGCTGAGGGAGATGCATGATATCAACATCAATCTGTAATGTGATCTAACATGCGCTTGGCTACAATTTCCCCCTTTATTGCCATTCAATATCTTCACTGCGTACTACATTTGTGCATCTCCTCCCACTATATTGTGCTGATTGACAACATGCCTTCTAATAAGGCTCAAACTGCATTATAGGTGTAGAATAGGGATGCACCAATACCGAGTATTTGGGCGAGTACTTGCCCAAACTACGCGTCCAAATGCTCCCGATCCTTATCCTGATACCGGAACTTTCGGTGTCAGGGCTCCTGATTGCCCAGGAAGCCACTTCACCAGGGAGCAGGCTATCGGGCTAATCAGGAAGCCGGGCGGCGAGTCATCACATGCCACTTGGCTTCCTTAATGGGATTTCCGGTATTGGCGAGTACCGGAGAAAAATATCGGTACTCAATACCGGAAAGTTATCGGTGCATCTCTAGTACAGAGCATATAACTGCATTAGATCTACTCGGATCTGAGAAAGTCACACAGGAGCTGAACCCGTCTAAAGCCAAATTATTTCTTCTTCTTTTTCTTCTTCTTTTTCTTTTTCGTTTAAAGTTTTGGATTGAGTAAGACAGAAATAGAACCTGATTTAGAAAAACAAAAGCATGTCCCATTTGCGGAGATTCCCCCCTACTTTCTGACCTGGAGACACAACAGTCATTTTAAAGAAATTTCCTAATAGCAAACTGTTGCTGGAATCGGTGCCCCCGTTACCGTCATTTCCAATTCCAGTGACAACTGTAAATTTTTAGATTTTCCATCTGTCTGGTGACAGTAGTCACTAGGTCAAAAAGGGTCTGTGAATCTGCCCCCAGCGCGGTGCGTCTGTGAATCTGCCCCCAGCGCGGTGCATCATTTTAATATTTCTGCATACACCTATAGGTGCACATACATCAACCCCCCCTCCCCCCACTTCAGTTGCATTGCAGCCTAATCTGTTTTGTATGTGATCTGCATTTCAGCGGCATGGCAGAGAAGAATGCCAATTTCGAAGCCCTTCCTGCAGATTGGCGACAGAGGCTGAAGAGGCGGAAAACGGAAAAAAGCACGTGACCACTTTTTGTACACTTGTATACTTTCTTACTTCACAACTGTTACTGTAAAAAAACAAAACCCCTTCCTCCCCCCTTTACCCCCGGAGTTGGCACGACTTGTCACCAGCTGTCACCCCTCTGGCCTTTGATGGTTTTTCTTCTCTTATGCAGAGCTGCCTTTTTTTTTTCTTCTGTATGTTCCTCGAACCGTTCTATTTTATTTGGTTTTGTATTTATTTACTTTGACCTTTTCCCGGATCCTCATCACCTTGAGGTACATTCCTTCATAACTGATGTCCCGCCTCTCTGTGATCAAGTGGCAAGTGCCAGTAGGGGACCGTCTTTGAGGATGATTGGATCTGTTTTATACCCCCTGATTGTCATGCAGCACTTTCCTGATGTGTTCTGTACAATCTGAGCCTTTCTGACCCAGTCACCAGATGGTAATTCTGCGATGGCAGACATCTTTTAGGACAGATGAAATCGCATCTCATGCTAGGAGAAATAAATGATTTTTGGTTTTGATAGAAGTGCTGCTTTTGCTACTAAAGCGAAACTCTGGGATTTAAAACTAAATACCCCCCAGCACTGCCGGGGTTAAATGCTTTTTAAGTCTAAGGCAGGCGGGAGAGGAATAACCTATAAGGCCTCATTCAAGGCTCCGTGCTGCGGCCGTATCGGGCAGCTCCCGGGAAGGACAGGTGCTGCGTGTGATTAGTACTCAGCCCCCGTCTTTCTCTGAGACTACGCTCACCCCTAGTGCATGTCTGTGCTGGTGTCCTGGCTCGGACGCAGACAGGATCCATCCTGTCAGTGTACGAGTACGGACGTGCAGAGCGGGTGAACGTAGGGCGGCTTACTCCTATAGAGCACAGGGCTTTTTCTCTTGTGAATGAGGCCTAATACTTCTTCCTCCAGCAGGCTTTTACTCCTAATGTTCAGCTGGTCCCCCTCCCAAAAGCCTCTTTTCTCAGGTGATCAGGCCCAGTGGTCGCATGCTGATAACGCATACAATGTAGGACCAATAGGCCTGATGGAGAGGGACCGTCTGCAGCATCAGAGAAGAGCACCGGGATGTGGAAGAAGTATTGCCTAATACTCGACCAGAGCCGGCAGCTCATTGGCTGCCAGCTGTGTTCGTACGAAGATTTTCTGACCAGCTCCTTTGATCAGCTGATCGAGGGATGCCGGCCAATGGTGGCACACACTACCTGGACTTCGGTCGGTTCCTCAGGAACCAGCCAAAATTCACACTGTGTATGGGGGCACCTTTAGCAGCACGAGGGTGACTTGTACAAAGATCCCTGAGTTTGGCTTTAAAAGGTAAAACTGCGCAATGTCTGTCTGTCTTTGGAGTAACCCTTCCCTGACCATTCCCACTCCTTGGTATAAAAATACAAAGGGGTCCAACGCTGCTGCTAGGGTGTCTGTAAGCAGAGGCAGACGTCTGGGCTCTTCATACCCTGTTTCCCCAAAAATAAGACCTAGTACTATTTTTGGGAATTGCTAAAATAGAAGACCTAGCCCGAAAATAAGACCTAATTGTGACCTTTCCCAGGGCCAGTGGTAGCATAAGGGGGAACTTAAAGAGCCGCGGGAGAGGCAGGACAGAATCAGCGGTGCCAACAAAGCCAGCTCTAAAGGAAGCGAGGCGGCAGTGGATGGAGCAGAGCTGCATAAGCCGATGCTTCCTCTACAGTGTCGGCTCCTGTCACAGGCGGGGTGATACCAAATGCACTCCGCCTGTGAGGAATGGATAGTGAAAGCGCGCTTCGCTCATTCTGACCAGCGATTGGTTACCAAATTGCTCTTGGAAAGGTACGGCACCCCTGATTGCCCTGATCACCATATTTTTCTACATGAATAAGTGTGGATTGTTGTACATAAAAAAACAAAAACCTACCCAAAAATGAGACCTAGTGTGTGTTTTGTTTTTAGCCCAAAAAAATATCAGACCGTGTCTTATTTTCGGGGAAACACGGTATTTGTCATCAGACTGAAATCTGCGATGGTGCTTGTAGTCCACCAGTGTATGCCAATGGCAGAGCTGCAGCTTTACCCATCCATGATGCTTCAGATTGCTGCACCCGCTGAAGCCGAGTTCCAGCCCCACATGTGGAAATTCTGGATTCGTTTCAGCAACTTTTCATTGGAAAACAAAACCATTTGATGGAATTGATCGGTCCATTTCCCGGCCATCGTGTCAATCGTTTCCTGATTTCAAGCAATCTAAATTGGGGTGGAAACTGATTAATCGTTTCCCAGCTTCGAGCACCCAGACGGTGGAAACTTCTTTCAAGGACCTGAATGCCAATTCAAGTATTTGTGATGCTTTTCCACTGGAAGCTGGGGAATGATTGCGGTAAATCGTTATGGACCATTGATTTATCATTTGTTTCCAATTGAAAGAACTCTGGGCATACAAATTGTATTAACCCGTTCAATTTGGCTACCCCCACCCCCCATCCTAACTGCTCCCTTTCATCTCCGTTAAAGTTATACTCCTCTTATCTTCAGAGACGGCCGGCACTTAGACTGGTTCCTTCCGCTACAGTATCTAAGGTCCCGAGTCATCACGTTCTGTACACAGTGTATAGGAAGTGAGGATGCCGAGGGGACATATCATGGCTGCAGCGTAGGAGTAGAGAGGGAGTGCTGTGACAGCCGGCTGGCTCTGAGGATCGGTTGAATATAACATTTGTTATTTTAGTCCCTAGATGAAGACGAGCCGTTAACCCTTGCAGCGTGCGGTTGTAGCCCCACTACAAGGGTTATGAAATGTCTTGCCCGGAGTTCTGCTTGGAAGCTTTGAAGATTGTCATGTGGCCAGCAGTTTGATTAATGAGGGAACTTTTTGTTTTATTGGTTTATTATGGGTAGGGTCCACGTTAAAGAGGCTTGCCAATAAAGTGCAACAGCTATACAGTGCTCTCCTCTAGGATGAGCGGGTTGCCGGACTCCCGAGTCCTTCGTCCAGGCCAAGCAGATCTGAGCATCCCCAGCAGCCTCTGAGGTGGTTATTCAATGTATGTAAACCCCAACAATAGACTTCTCTTATCTGCTCCCGTTGTGTCTGTTAAATATACCATTCAAAATGTTTTGTTATATCTGATAAGTGCAAAAAGATACCTGCTGAGCCTGCCAGAAAGTCAGAGCTGTCCAGTCCGGGGTTATATCATAGAGAATAATTATCTCCAGCAGTCCCTATCCTGGGACTAAAGGATTGATGCTGTGGAGATGGGAGAGTAGGTGGGTCAGAGTAGTTTGGGCAGGGCTGACACCACGTAGTCCGCTCAGCCTACAACAGGACTTGGGAGCTGAGAGTTTCTGGTGGAGCGGCAGCAGATATTTTTCTGTATTTGCATGTTCTATGAAGGGATAAATCGTGGGGAGATCTGCATGAATTGCATATGTTTAGTTGGTGTGGTTTTGTTTTTTGCCCTAATATATATTTTGGGACACAACAGCTGGTCAGTGCGGGTCGCCATTGCAGGATCCCAGGAAAGGCCAAGGCAGGACAACCTTTTTCTTTTTTGTCTTCTAAGTGTTTTGGGCAGAATTGAAGTGTTAGCTCTTCCGTCATGTTTTAAAGAAGAACTCCGGGAACCATATACACCCTTGCAGTGAGGCTGCCCCCGCACCGAAGGTTCAGTGCTCGTTATATACCATTATACTCGCCTGATCCTCTGAGCCGGTTTGCTCTTAGACCGGTCCGCTCCAGCGATCTAAAGCCCCTGAGTCATCATGTTCTTTACACTGACATGATGCCTGGGGACATACTGCTGCAGCGTGGGAGGAGGGGGCAGTAACTTTTTAATTGTAGTCCCTAGATGAAAACGAGCAGTTAACCCTTGCAGTGCGGGGGGAGCCCCACTACCAGGGTGGATAACATATTTTTTTTTTCTTCTTCTTCTTGGAGTTCTCTAATGCGTCTCTGTTGAGAGATTTCTTCTTACTTCCTGTCCACATTACAGGTGTCAGAACAGGAAGTGCAGGGAAATCTCCCTGAAAGGGTACACAGCATTTTAACCCTTCCCTGCTCTATCTATTACCTCTGAGCCCATCGAGTGGTTGATTGTCTCCTCTGATGGATGTGACATTGAAGCTGGTTTATACATAAAGGTGTGAGGGGGGGGGGGGGGGGGGGCGCTTTGGCGT